TCAGCTCTGCAGAGAGAGGAGGCAGTAGGGGAGACCCTGAAAGACGAACTGCCTCTTCCCATTTCCCAGGGAGCCACGGCAGCATCCCAGCTGTCCTGGGACAGCAGCACTTGGCATGTCCAGAGGACTCCAGTATCACCATAGTGAGGGCAAGCACCCCAAGCAGATCCCCTCCATCCCCCATGATGGCAGCACCCCAAGACTGGTCCCACACCATCCTTGAGACCCGTCCCCAGCCCATCCCATCACCTGCATGGGCAGAGACACAGTGTCCCTGGCGAGAGCGGCGTTGTGGCACCACAGCGGCAGGCAGGAGGCTGCTGGCAGGAAAAGGGGGCACAGGGGGGACACTCACCTGCTGAGATGGGGGGCAGTGAGAATGTGCCTGGCTGCAGTTCCACAGTGCTCCAGTGTCTCCCCATGAGCTCTGCTCCACCTGCACCCTGTTCCAGTGGTCCTGGGTCCCTACTCACAGCATTGTGGGGTGCCACAGAAGACCGGTGCCGTTTCGCCACCACCACAGGGCCGATCTGAGGTGCCAGGGACATACGCTGGGGACAGAGCAGATGTAATGAAGGATAGACAGGGACCCACTCCCTGACTCTGCCTCCCCACCCCAGAGCACCCAAGCCAAGTAGTCTCACCCTGCCCACTCCACACCAGGTACTGTGGGGACCTGTGGGCACCCAGGCCCCCCACGTGGGCCAGAGCCAGTCCCAGGGCTGGGGGAGGCCAGGCCAGGCCTGCAATGCAGAGGTGTGAGCACAGCAGCATGTAGGATGCCTACACGTGCGGATGAATTATTGAGGAGCCCGGCTGGGCCACGATGGAGGGTAATGGAGTTTCTATTGATTGCTGGAGGTTTGCTGAGAGATGACGCTCCCAGCCCAGCATCAATAAATTAAAACCCCTGTGAGGCTCCTTGCAGTCTCCAATGCAAGGTTGGAGAAGTATCTGGGCGCCCTAACTCTGCATGGCCCAGGGTATCCTCACCCATGCAGGGGGCACAGACCCCATCTCAACACCAGCCCTCAGTGCTGCCACGTCCCAGCATTTCTCACGTACCTGTCTTTCCTGGGCTTTGCGCTTCAGGGTCCGCACCACTGTCATATCAACATCCTGAAAGGCAGTAGAGAAGTGTAGCGCTGGCAGGGCTGAATGGGGCCAGGGCCAGCCCAAAAATCCATGCTCCGGCTCCAACAGCAGCCCACCCCTAACCATGGCCATGCAAGGGAGCTGCCCTACTGCAGGAGTGGGGCAAAACTGCCCCCTCGCTGCTGGGGAGAGGCCAAACCCTGGGGCTCGCAGCAGATCACTCCTTACCACGTCATCCTCAGTGCGGTCGTAGCTGATGTCCGATTGGAACAGGAGGGACTGGCATGACTCATTCACAGCAGATGACCTGCAGAGCGAGCTGGGGGTCAGCCCAGCCAGGGCAATTCCTCCCTGACCAGCACCTACAGCTCCTCCTGGGAGCCCAGAGCTGGCACCTCTGCAGAGCCCAAGCAACCTTGTATGAGCCAGCCCCTCCAGCCCAGCAAAGGTGATAAGGAGAGAAGCAGAGGCAAGCCTAGGGCTGCCTGAGGGGCTGGGGCAAGGGCCACCCTTGTGAGTCCTGCTCACCTCCTGCCTGGTGCCAGGGATGCCCCGAGGCGCCGGCCGGCCAGAGCACTGAGGAATGAGCACTGCTCCCTGCTCAGCACTCCGCTGCCCCACGGCTCCCGCACCAGGCACTCAAAGACCAGCTGAAGTTTGCGCTCCTGCAAACAAAACAGGGTGGCAGAAAGCTGGCTGGGGTTCCCCACAGCCGACCCCAGAAGGTACCCCTGCAGCC